CTGACGTCAGCTCAGGTCATGATCTCACAGTTCTTGGCTTCAAGCTCCGCATAGGGTTCTGTGGGGACAGCTCAGAGCCTGGAGCCTGTTTCGGATTCTGTGTCTCCCTCTCTCTCTCTCTCTGCCCCTCCTCTGCTCATGTTCTCTCTCTCTCTCGCTCTCGTTGTCGCTCTCTCTCGCTCTCTCTCAAAAATAAATAAGTAAACAAACAAACAAACATTAGAAATTTAAAGATATTTCATTACTAAGGACTAGTGTAGTGACCAGGATATCATTAAATAATAGGGAAAAGCTGTATTTTAAAGAAAGTTTATCTTTAAATATCTTCTCAACAATTAGTCTGGTTTTGTACTACATCAAGTGTATCCAGTTTACCTATATCTAGTTTACTAGGGCTTTTCACAGTTTCCCTGCATAAATATAAAATTAAGTAGCACCCTTCGATTGTATCATTACTGAATCAGTGCCTGAGACCTTAAAACTGGGCACAGACTTTAAGCAGCACAACCTTCAATCATTTTCTATTAAAAGTGGTGTTCAATTAAAAGACATTTAGTCCTCTAGTCATGTCATTAACATTAATTAGTGTTATTGATGCAATTTGTAAGTTTTCCTATTTCCTGAAATCCATTTTTAAAAATATTTTATTTTTAGAGAGAGAGAGAGAAAGAGAGAGCATGAGTGGGGAAGGGACAGAGAGAGATGAAGACAGAATCTGAAGCAGGCTCCAGGCTCTGAGCTGTCAGCACAGAGCCCCATGCAGGGCATGAACCCACAAGCCATGAGATAATGACGTGAACCAAAATTGGATATTTGACTGATCCACCCAGGCACCCGTACTGAATTCCATTTTGATCTGAGTTTACAATATGTTTGCAACTTAAAATTAATAAAAATCCTCCTTGCTTAAAAAAAAAAATCTGCAGTTCAGAATTCTATTAGGTTGATCCATTCTTTCCTGTTTCCATTCTAGATTGTTGTATTTAACTTTTCTGTACTTGGTTCTTTCCACTATTGGTAAACTGTGTCATTTGACATTTGTGGAGTTATTTGGGAAGCAATAGAAGCTATCATGTTCTAGAGGCCAATGTTTTCATTGTAAATGGGACTGAAATTGGAATACTTAAAATAAAAAGTATTGTATTTAGCAATACAGGAACAATGAAATTGAAACTATTCTCAGGATTTATATCACTAGCAACAGCAAGCTTTCCAAATTTGATTTGTTTAGGTTCACATTTCAAACAAGGATTTGAAATAGTGGTCTATATCCTTCACTCTGCTTACTTACCTTTCACTTGCCTCTCAAACTGCAGGGTTGAGCATGTGCCACATGCCCACAATGAATGTATTGAGTACTTTTTTTTTTAAGTTTATTTATTTACTTAGCGAGCTGAGGAGGGCCAGAGAGAGGGAGAGAGAATCCCAAGCAGATTGCCAGTACTGAGCCTGATGTGGGTCTTGAACCCGCAAATTATGAGATCATGACTTGAGCCAAATTCTTAACTGAATGAGCCACCTAGGCACCCCAATATTCAGTACCTTTACTCCCCTTTTCTGTCCCTATCTCTCTTAAACCACTAACAGTGCCCTCTAGTCAAAACCAGTGGATTGATGTTGCCATGACATTACTGGAGTTTTGCAAGCATTGGGCATCGACCACCATTTCCTCGCATGGGATCCAAAACCTCACCCTACCCTGACTCTCTTCTCAAAGTCTTTACTGTTTGCCCTGTCTACAGCTGCCTCCTTTGGAGACTAGTGCTCCAGGGTTCTACCCTCAGTCCTCTTATCCACCTACAGGGAAATGTCATCCACTCTCCTAACTTCACTTTTTCACCTCTCACCTCCTAGTCTTTACAAACCCTAATGCACCATTGCTCCTCCCCTGCTGAGTGAGAGAAGCCCAAACTCTTGAGCATGGCATAGATTCTTCTAACCATACTGTAAGACCACATGATGGGGACATTTCTATATCCCCATTGCCCAGCCAAGTGAAACTCCATGAGCCCTCGATAAAGTTTTGTGGGAGGAGGGATTCCTCGAATTTGCCAAATTTTTTGAGTGTCCTCTTTCAATATCTCAATCCCCTCCATTTCCTAGAATTCTTGCCCTGCCCCACTCAGCAGCCTCCACAGGATTCTGACCTACATCTACTTACACTCTATCTTCAGTCTAGAGCAAGAGTATGAACATTCCTTTCCTGCTCATCCCATCTTGCTGTCCCAACTCAATCCCAGCATCTACATTAGCAAAAAGCTGCCAGTTCATGGAAATCATTGTGACCATCATCCTGATACAAAATCTTGGCTACATGTTAAATCTATGAAGTTTGCTGATGACCTATAGTGGAATTATCCCATGCTTCCTGTTCTAGCTTTATACCACTTCACACTTGGCATAAAATGGGAAACCAGAGTCTCAGTTCCTTGAATGTAAGCATGCATTCAGAAAAGTGCACTCAGTAAGACTACACCCAAGCTTGCAATTAAGCAGGGGAGATAAGATATGCACATAATTCTGAAGTATATGGTAAATGATAGTAAATACAGACCACATCTTATGCCTCTTGTGACCTGTAAGGACAACAAATTTTCAATAGAGAATTTCTGGATGAACAATTCTAGTGTACAGAAAGGAAATAGGGTTTGGCATTTGAACAGAGAACAGACTGGAAAGACAAGTTGGAACAGGTGTAAGAGGACTTTGAGGGGCGCCTGGGTGGCTCCGTCGGTTGAGCTTCCAACTTCGGCTCAGGTCATGATCTCATGGTTCGTGGGTTCGAGCCCCCTGTCAGGTTCTGTGCTGGCAGCTCAGAGCCTGGAACCTATTTCAGATTCTGTGTCTCCCTCTCTCTCTGCCCCTCCCCCACTCATGTTCTGTCTCTCTGTCTCAAAAATAAACTATAAAAAAATATTTTTAAGAGGACTTTGATATCACACCAGGAGAGTAGACTTCTTTTGGTGGTTAATACAAAATTTGGCACTTTTTGAGCAGTAGGATGACACACGCAGAGCTTACTTTAGGGCGGTTCATCTGGCAGTTCACAGCTGTATCTCTCAATGACTAGAATGTTATCCTGCATATAGAAGCCCCTCCATAAATGTCTTATTTACAGGACCATGTGGGAGTTATCATTTTTGATGTAGTTTTGTAGTAAAAGCCAATCATCTGAGTCCAATATTTTCAAGTTAATAAATACACATATAACTTCATCTTGATCTTCCTTCACTAAACTCAGTATTCCTGTCCCAAACCCCTCTGTAATGACTCCCACAGGAAACAAAATTCCACCTCCCTGCGCTTTCTCTCCATTGAGTTCTTTCCTCCATAGCTACACAAAAGAAAGCTGTCTAATCCAGACCTCTTTTACATGACAGTTTGTCAAATTTTATATACAGTCACCACGAACAGGTTTCTCTTTTTAGTCAAATATTCCCAGACCTTTTAATTATGTAAGGCATTTATCACTATCCTAGTCACTCCTCTGGAATTGACTATGTCAGCGTCCCTTAAACACACGTCATCAATGCTGAACTATGAGTCCAGAAATGTCCTAATTAATCCATTTCTTGGGCTTGAAAGGCTTTGGAATTATTCTCAACTAGTCATCCTCTATATAACATTACCTTATCTGCATATGGCACTTTTCAGCAGGCACATTTCCTCTTCTACCTCTCCGACATCTATCTCTTCCTAGTTCAGGCTCATCACCCCAGGCCTGCATCCTGTCTTTTTTTTTTTTTTTTTTTTTTTTTTTTTTTTTTTTTTTTTTTTTTTTTTTTTTTTTTTTTTTTTTTTTTTTTTTTTACGTGGGTCAGCAAACACTCATTGAGCATCATGCTTCAGGGCATTGCTTATTAGTAGGACAAGGCTTGTCCTTTAATTATGGAGACGACAGCCTNACATCTATCTCTTCCTAGTTCAGGCTCATCACCCCAGGCCTGCATCCTGTTTTTTTTTTTTTTTTTTTTTTTTTTTTGCTTCCTTGCCTGCTGCTGCCATACCTGTACTCTTTACACAATACTGTCATACGTGGGTCAGCAAACACTCATTGAGCATCATGCTTCAGGGCATTGCTTATTAGTAGGACAAGGCTTGTCCTTTAATTATGGAGACGACAGCCTTCATCTGACTATACCACTGTAGAAGGTGCATTGCAGCATGGGTGCACACCCAGGACTGAGGGTGAAGAGGGGTATTCCACCATTGGTTAATGAAGATGGCATTTGACTAAACTTTTAAGAATGGTTGGAATTAAAAGCAGAAGAGCATTCCAGGCTGAACCAGGGGGTAGGGCATGAGGAGTCTAAATGTACACCGATTTAGGGAGCTCCTGAGCAGAGCAGAGGGACAGAAGCTCTGGATGTGTAGCAGGATAAGCAGTACTAAGTGTCCTTGAAAGGAAGTTTAGAGCAGGTACCTGTTGGTAGTCTGTTTTGTAATAGGGGACTGTTATGCTCCCACCTCCATTCACTTCTGGAAATCACTTGGTACTTCCACCTGTCAGTGGTTGAAGTCTCAACATTTGGTAGGGAGCTCTGCCTAGCAGCTCTTGAAGAGGTGGCTGGAAAGCAGACCAGGAGTACTCCCAGCCCAGGCAGTGCGACCACGGGAGAGGGAGACATTAATTTAGGGGAGCCTCAACCTCGTTGGCAGGGTTGTGGTGAGGTACCAAGCGTAATAATAGGTACCAAGTGTGTCCTCACTGTAAAGTCATTACTGGGACGATTTTGTAGCACCCGCGGCCGCCCCGCGCCAGACATCCCTTACTCGGGGGACAGCACCCGCGAGGACTCTTAGGGGTGCGCGAGCAGCTCGAAGATTAGACATCGCACCAAGAACTCAACCACCGCCGGCTGAGGGAGTGCGCAGGTCTCAACGCCCTTTTCCTCTGATTGGGTGGGACCAAGGGGAGACGGACAAAAGAGGAGGCAGGGATTGGTTAATCCTGGGAAGAAGGCGGAGCCTTGGCCAGGAGGATGGTGGTATATCGCTGGCAGTGGTAGCCCCGCCCCCTTGCCGAGACTCGGATCTGGGCCACATAGACTCAACAGTCAGTGGAGTTCCTACGCCTCCTTGTCATCCCAGCAACCAGTGACGCGGCCCGCCTGAAGCTAACCACTGGCCAACTGGGGAAAGCGGGATTGGAGCGTGACCCCTATTCTAAGGCGTCTCCCAGCTCCCCTTACTCGGCGGCCGCGCGCTCCGCCAGCCCCTTCCTCCCTTCTCCTCCTTAGTCCTGCAGTCGGGGAGGCGGGGGTCGGCGAGCTAGCTGAGCGGGAACCGCGTGGTGTACAAGGAGCCAGTCGGCGACCGGTGAGGGGACTGAAGGGTCGGGAGGGCAGGGTTGGCGCGGGGCAGCGATCTCTGTCTGCCCGTCTTCCCTCCGCTGTGGGCGGCTAGCGCCTGCAGCAGTTGGGAGCGCCGCCCTGGCAACGAGTGACGCGGAAGCACTACGGAACAAACGATTGGTCTGCTCACTCCCGCGGCCGCTGGGCGGCCTGCTCCTCCCAGGCCCCCTTCGCCTGTCCTCGTCCGTCTTTCCCCGGTCACCTTCGGGCCCAGCAGCCCCACCACGCAACGTCACCAGGCTAAGACGGATTAAAAGGGCAACTTTAGCCACCAGGTTCTGTCGGCGTTAATCGGCCCGGACTCCTCACTACGTCTTTGGTGCCCTGTCTAACCTTCGAGGTGGGCTGGCGCCAAGGGAGAGGAGTTGAGGTGGGAAGTTTCGCCAAGGAGAGTCTGCCTAGCAACTCGTGACGATCGTTGACTGAAGCGCCCGGAATTGGCTGCACTGCGACCTTCTCAGGTGTGGCGTCTCTCTTGCCGCGAATAGTTGTGTGCACCTTCCCGTTAAGTAGGAGGCAACAAATCTTAAATAACCAACCTCCCTGCTTACTCTGAAAGCCCCCGAGGTTCGGCGTGGGGCTATGGAATGCTTATGCTACTCTAAGCCTGTGAAGAAGGGGTTTTGGGGTATTGGGGAAGGGATTTAAAAAGCCTTGCAGAACGTTTAGGATCCTTAGGGTCGAAGTCAGAGTCAGACCCCCGTATTCAGGATCCCTCTTCAAAGGAACTGTCCTGAGGCGGGTAAAACCTAAAACTTCAGTAACCACAGTTGTTAGACTTACACATATTTTAACCTTTTCATATGAAACGTTATAATAGTTTCCTTTACTGAGTTCTCCCAGTCAAGAGTGTCAGACACCTAAAATTCCCTGTCCAAGGTCACACAGCTAATACTTATTATGGAAGAACCAGAATTTGGACACTTGCCTCTGTGGTTCCCCTATGGAACCCCTTACAGTTCTGTTTCAGTAAACCAAAGCAGAGTGTTTGCAGTGCATGCAGTAGATAGGGCTATGGAGGATAAGACAACTGGAGAGAGGCTTCCTACTCTTCCAGGAATCTAACATTTGAAAGAGATGTATTCCAGTTTAATACATCATGTTTAAAAAGCATGAGTGCCCTATGTGTGCCCAACTTCTTGCTAGGCCCTGGGAAGATGCAAAACACCATGTATCGTCCCTTCCTACATCTCAGTTTGGGGAAGGTCTGCCCCCTCTGGGTTGCAGTTTTTGCAACCATGTGTGAAAGGAACACAGAGAATAGGCTACCTTACTACGTGCACTCTTTCCCTGCTAACAACCATACTTTCTCCACACTTGCCAATTTACAGGAAAATCTTTATGAAGGCAGAACTTCCGAAAGAATGTATCTGGATCATAATCAGTCTTGGGCACTTGGGATGGGAAGCAGCTGTCATTCCTATTTCCACCAGCTCCTTAAATATGTCAGACTGGACCTGAAGCTAGAAGGGGTAACTTCTTTTGAAGTACTAGACCTTGTTTCTTCTATGGAAGAAAAGAAAGTAAGGAGAAGCCACTCTGGTGCTCTGGATTCCACACTCCATACTTACCTAGAAAAGGGTCTGAAACCTTCCCAGAATGAATGAGAATCACTGTTTCCTGTTACTTTTACTGATTACTCAGAATAAAGCCAAGTAAGGGGATGGGGTTGTGGAGTGTGAAGGCACTCAGCAGGGATTCTCTGAGGAGGGGTTATTGGAGCAGAGCACTAAATGAAGGGGGGAATGGGTTTGCAGGTGGAGCTATAAATAGAAAGGCCCCAAAGTAGGCAATTAATTTTAATAATACAGTTCATTTGGGGCACCTGGGCGGCTCAGTTGGTTAAGCATTCGACTTAGGCTCAGGTCATGGTCTCGTGAGAACTGTGCTGAGAGCTCAGAGCCTGGAGCCTACTTCAGATTCTATGTCTCCCTCTTTCTCTGTCCCTACCCCAATGGTGTTTTCTCTCTCTCTCTCTCTCTCTGGAAAAATAACTAAACATTAAAAAAATTTTTTTAAATAATACATTTCATTTAACCCAATATATACAAAACATCATTTCAACATATATATATAATCTACAATAAACATTATTAATGAGATATCTTGCATTCTTTTTTCATACTAAATCTTTGAAATCAGGAGTGTATTTGACCCTTTATAGCACATCTCAATTTGGACCACTGCTCAGTCACATGTGGCTCATGGCTACTATAGTGGACAGTACAGCTGGAACAGCCCTCAGTCCCACTCCTGTTTAAAATGGAGAAATTGTGGGGCGCCTGGGTGGCTTAGTCGGTTAAGCGTCCGACTTTCGCTTAGGTCATGATCTCGCGGTTCGTGGGTTCGAGCCCCGCGTCGGGCTCTGTGCTGACTGCCAGCTCAGAGCCCGGAGCCTGTTTCAATCTGTGACTCCCTCTCTCGCTGACCCTCCCCTGCTCACACTGTCTCTCTCTCTCTCTCTCTCTCTCTCTCCTAGAAATAAATAAATAAAAAACATTTAAAAAAATAAATAAAATGGAGAAATTGTGAGATGATCACTTGCCTCTTCGTTCTGCGCCAGAAATGATGGCCCAGCAGAACAGATAACCAGGGAAGAAAATCTTTGTACTGACTGAAGGACACCACTCAGAAGAAAAAGAACAAAACTGCTCTCATAGTAGATTGTTAGTAAATGTACTAAATCCTGATCAATTACCATACTTTTGATCTGTAATAGGTGATCCATTAGATATGATATGAAATCCCTGAAATAGCTACTAAGAAACAAAAATAAAGTGATATGTGAAACTCAGAAGTTTGCTTTTAATCAATTGTGAATGTTAATTTTTTCATTTGCTTATCTTACTGGGTTTATTTTTTTTAATTTTTTTTTCTTACTGGGTTTTTAAAAATTAATTACATATGTAGCATTTGTAAATATTTGTAATTACTAGATGCTTGAAAGTTGATAAAATAAAGTATTGAGAATTTAGGACTTTTCAGTAAATCACACATAATTACCTCCTTCCCTCTTTCCAAGCCCTCCTGTACTTACTTTTTTTTTTTTTTTTTTTTTACTTAAAATGAATTTGGTGGTTTAACAACTTCAAAACCCTCAATTGGCAAAGTGGTTAGGACAGGGCAAGTTCCAGCATGGGGTGAGGTACAGAAGACAGAATTTAAGGGTATACCCTGATACTGAATTACCAAACCTGACCTCTAGATCAGGGCCTGTCTTGATCTCCACATTTGTAATGGGAGGAAATTGTATCTTTGTTTATATGCCATTTATGTATGCATGATTGTGTTTGTGCATTTGTCTTACCTCACTTGGGCATGTGCCCTGGGAGGGAGGGGTGGGTTCCCAGAAACTTGGCCTGAGAGGTGTCATGGTTCCTTGAGACCCCCAAGTAAAGTGGAACACACACCAGGGAATGAGCATTGCTCTTTTTGGCATTTGGGATCAAACACTGAGTCCTGAGGGAAGGTTTTATTCACATGAGGATAAACATTCTTTTGAACTGATGACCAGCTAGAATCAGCAGCCCAAGTGTCTGGGCTGAAAGTTCCCTCTGGAAGAACTGAGAGACTCTCTAAAGACTGCTTTCAGGTCTGCAGAGGGGCTCCTGCCCCTGCTTCTAGTGTTTTTTTTTTGTTTTGTTTTGTTTTATTTCTAGGAGAGAGAGAGAGACAGTGTGAGCAGGAGAGGGTCAGAGAGAGAGGGAGATACAGACTCTGAAATAGGCTCCAGGCTCTGAGCTGTCAGTCAGCACAGAGCCTGATGTGGGGCTCAAACCCACGAACCGCAAGGTCATGACCTAAGCGAAAGTTGGACGCTTAACCGACTAAGCCACCCAGGTGCCGCCCTGCTTCTAGTTTTTGCTTAAACTCATTATCTTTGAATAAGATGTCTGGGAATTAAAATACTGCAGACCAAAAAAGAGAGAAAAAGTGTGTGGGATAGGAGGAATGTCATAGAGAGAAAGAAATTTTGAAAGCAAAATGTATATAGATGCTGAAGGATTCATGATACAATTCTTTAGTTTTTTTAATTTGAAAATACCCATTAAAACAATACTCCCCTCTTCTTTCTCTCCCTGCTTCTGTCCTCTCTGCTCAGTTTAAATTCATGTTGTCCCCGTGGATGTAACTCAAGGGTATTATCCTTAGTGAAATAAGTCAGGCAGAGAAAGATACCATATGTTTTCACTCATATGTGGATCTTGAAAAACTTCACAGAAGACCATGGGGGAGGGGAAGGGGAAAAAATAGATAAGGAGAGGGAGGGAAGCAAACCATAAGAGACCCTTAAATACTGAGAACAAACTGAGGGTTGACGAGGGGTGGGGAAGAGGGAAAAATAGGTGATGAGCGTGGAGGAGGCCATTTGTTGGGATGAGCACTGGGTGTTAAATTGGAAACCAACTTGACAATAATCTATATTTAATTAATTAAAAATAAATTCATGTTGTCCCTCTTCTTTCATCTTTGCAGGGCACAGAACATCCTGCTCCAAAGGCATGAGAAGAGAACATCCTGCATTGGCCACTCTTGCCCAATGTGGAGGGGAGCAGAAGATCCTGAGCCCACCCCTGAAGGTTTGTGGCTATCAAGGCTTTCTTTCTTTTTTAAAATGAGTGTTTGTTTGTTTGTTTGTTTGTTTTTGAGAGAAAGAGAGCATGAGAGGGGGAAGGGCAGAGAGAGAGGGACATGGCATTTGAAGCAGGTTCTAGGCTCTGAGCTATCAGCACAAAGCTTGACACAGGGCTTGAACCCACAAGCTATTAGAAGTCAGATCCTTAACCGACTGAGCCACCCAGGCACCCCTCAAGGCTTTTTTTCAATTGACCCCATTTATGGGGTGTTTTAACCAGAGCTCTGGGCATTTATGATGTTTCCATCTTCCAGTAAGAAAATGACTCTGACTTGTTTGCTTCTTCTCCCTGACCTATTAAGTGACACAGCCTATAACTCATAGTAACTGTACCTAATCTCCCCTGAATTTAGCTGGGACCAATCCACGGACCCTGAGGGAAGCAGTCAGTGATGAGGCCCACAGGAGGTTCTGTAAAGAAAGACTGACTCTGCTCCCAGACAACTACCTGGACCAACTTGTTAGGATTCAGAGATAACATTTGAGATAAAGAGGATAGCAGAGCAGATTCCATCCCCATAAAGGGTCTTTCTGCTATTCTGGGTTCTCAGATCCCTGGAGCTAGGGCAATGAAGGAAGTCTGTAGAATGTTTGCAAACAATTTGGATGACCTGAGAATAGGAAAGAATGCTTCTTCCTTCTCCCCAGCTTTTCCTGAAAATGTGAAAAGCATTTCTAGGATAATGCCATCAACTTTCAACAATATGTGTAGACTATACATGTTTATTTTCACCCCTTTCCTGGGTCCTGAGTTGCTTTCTCAAGGTTAGGGAACTTTGAAGCTGTGTACCAATGTGGAGTGGTTGTTTATCAGGTATTGTCCAAAGTTAAGGCACAGTACTTTAGGGTTTCTCATCCTTTGCCCAGGCTTCTGGTTATGTATGGGTTTAGGCTTCATCTAATTGCCCTCCTTGACCTTCCAGCCAGGTCTGGCTGGGATCACATTGGTGACTTGGGAAAACCAGGGCCTCAGAGGAAGGTATTGATGTGGTCTCAGCTAAGGGGCCTTTCATTGCCCATCCCTCCTTAGTGTTTCCTAGTGCATCTCCAGGCTAAGACCTCTGGCTTAAGGACAGAAAACAGTCTGGCTACTCATCATCCCCTCCCAAGCAGAGTTTTGGAGGCAAACTCCCTCTCTGAATCCCTCTTGCCCTTCATGTTGGCATGAGGACCTCTCTCTCCATATTTCTAGGAGTCCTATGGCTTTGCCTCTTCTTGGAGAATGGAATCCAGGAGAATGGAATCTAGCTGAAAAAGTTACAAGAAATGGGGACTCTGTGCTCTTGCCTGGCCATTCCCCAAGGTGTAGCTGTTGCAGCTTTCACTGTGGCTTACAGTGAATTTCTCCCTATAGGGCTCACAGTAAAGGGTGAACTTGGCTGCAGCTCACTCTTGAAAAAGCCACAGAGCCTGCTTACAAGAAAAGGAACCTAGAACCTGCAGTTTTCCAAAATTCCTCTTCTTCCATTTGCCATTTCCTTTCTAGGCCTTCAAAAAACAGAAAATAACACGCAGTTTGAGGAGGTGCACCCTGGCTTGGGAGTGGAACACATCCCTGCCATACTGCATTCCAGACACTCCCCAGCCTGTCACTCACCATGTTAGATGCATCAGAGGTGGCGGCGGCTGCAGGAAGGCCTTACATATGCAGTGAATGTGGCAAGAGCTTCCGCTACAGTTCTGTGCTGCTGCGTCATGAGCTGGCGCACGGTGGTGAGAGCCGCTACCGCTGTCTAGACTGTGGTGAGCGCTATGCCCTGGCTGCTGACCTCCGCGCCCACCGACGCGCCCATGCTGGCCAGACGCTCTACATCTGCAGTGAGTGCGGCCAGAGCTTCCACCATAGCGGCCGCCTGGACCTACACCAGAGTGTGCACAGACAGCGCAGTCGCTCTTGCTCTTGTCGTGCCTGCGGCCGCAGCTTCCCACACCTCCCGGCTCTGCTGCTGCACCGGCGCCGCCTGCACCCTCCAGAGCAGCCCCGCCGATGTCCACTGTGTGCCCGCACCTTCCGACAGAGCGCGCTACGCTTCCACCAGGCGCGGGCACACCCTTGGGGGACACTCATCACGCCCATCGACCCACTGCACCAATGCGCACAGTGCCCACGGGCTTTCCACAGCTATGCAGGGCTGCGGAGCCATGCGCGCATCCACGTGGCCCAGAGCCCTGGCGACTCCACACCTCCACAGCCTCATGCTCCGGGTACACACCATTGCAGTGTGTGTGGGAAGAACTTTGGTAAGAGCTCAACACTAACACGACACCTGCAGATTCACTCAGGTGAGAAGCCCTTCAAGTGCCCTGAGTGTGGAAAGGGCTTCTCGGAGAGTGCCACGCTGGTGCGCCATCAGCGCACGCACACAGGTGAGAAGCCCTACGCGTGTGAGGACTGTGGGCGCCGGTTCAGCGAGAGTTCCACACTTTTGCGCCACAGGCGCAGCCACCAGGGAAAACGGCCGCACGCATGTGCCACCTGTGGCAAGGGCTTCGGGCAGCGCTCTGACCTAGTGGTGCACCAGCGCATACACACAGGCGAGAGGCCCTTCCCATGTGCCGAGTGTGGCCGCCGCTTCAGCGACCGTTCTGACCTCACCAAGCACCGGCGAATACACACAGGCGAGAAGCCCTACCACTGTGAGTTGTGTGGCAAACGCTTCACATGCGTGTCCAACCTCAACGTGCACCTGCGCAACCATGCTGGTCACAAGCCCCATAAGTGCCCTGAGTGCGGCAAGGCCTTCAGCGTGGGCTCCAAACTGGCACTGCACCGCAAGACACACCTGGGCGAGCGGCCAGCAGAATGTGCTGAGTGTGGCAAGTGTTTCAGCCACAGCCGCTCGCTCTCACAGCACCAGCGGGCCCACACACGAGCTCGTGCGGCCACCGCTGCCACCCAGGCCACCACAGGAGCTGCCCTCATCTTTGCTGGCCAGGCAGAACAGGAAAAGCTGGACTTTTTGTGTCCCAGCTGAGGGGAACTTGCTGAGAAGCTTTTCTGGAGTGGGCTTGGCAAATACCAGATATAGAGCCACAGGGATGGTGGGGCAGCTCCGCAGATGGGAGTTTGTGTAAAAACAGCATGGCTGTCTCTCACCCTGTCACACCCCTACATCCATTTCTCTTGTCAGCTCTTCCTGTCCATCCTTCCTGCTCTCCCTCTGGGGTGTAGGTGCAGGGAGTTGGGAAAACCTAGACATGGAAGACAGCCCAAGTATTGGTGTGTTCCCATTGCTGCTACTGTGCCCTCAGATGCTTCCCCCTCACCCCCACCCCTGTTTTCCTACCTGTATTGTCTTCTCTTGTCCCATCCCTTTTCCCGCCTGAGTCTCCTCTAGCTCTCTGGGTACTTTTGTTGTCCTGACTCTTCAGGTAATGATCATAGGGTGGCCATAGTAACAACCCACCTGCCTTGTGGTTTTCTTGCCTCTTGGTTCCACTTGACACTTTTCTCTGCTGCTTTCTCCCTGGGCTCTGAGAGATGGGAAGTTTGTAGGCAGAGATGATGGGATTGTCCATTTCAGTGAAAGGCATCCTGCCAGAAGCAACTAGCCTGCTGCCTGGCACAGAAGGCCCACCTGCTTTGAAGGTGGGCAGGAGACCTCAGCAAAGCAACCACCTGGCGCACAACCCAGACCTGATGGTGTCCAGATCAAGGTCCCTCTTAGGACAGTGTTCTCCAGTTAGGTGGAGGACATTAGCTTTGGGACCTAGACTGAGACCACATGGGGTCCACAAAGCAGGGTATTGTCAAGTGAAGCATCAGAATGTTATATCCAAATCAATCTCTGAGCTCTACAGAGGCAATAGTGCAGGGTAGAAAATCTGGAATTGTCCAGTGATTTTTTTTGCTTATGGCTGGTGAAATAAAGAGTTGTTTATTTGGGTTCCAGATACCCAGAGCCTCTGTTTTCAAAGCTTGAGGCTGCTGTTTTGCAGATATCTGGAGTGATCCAAGAGCCAGGCCCTTTTGAAGTTCTAAGATGTCTTGTCTCCACCCAAGGTAGCTCAGTGATCTTGCATGTACAGCCCCCTAATTTTGCACTGGAAGGCAAGACTCTTCAGGCCTATACACTTGGTTCCCGGATAGTGAAGAGTACAAATGTGGCTCAGGCTCACATACCTCCATTCCTGCTCCAACTATTCCTCTGGAATGACCCAGTGCTCTCCATACTGTCACAGCCTGCCCTGCTTAAGTGCAAGAATAGGTATGATACTCCACTGAAAAGGACTTCAAAGTATCAAAGTAAATTGGGAAAGAAAGCTGGGTCCTTGAGGTAGGGGCCTACAGAGAGAGGAACAGGGCCTGCACCTGTGGTATACTCAGGCACATTCTAGCAGAGCCTGCTTCCAGAGGAATAAGGATTCTCATTCTTCAGGTGCCAAAACATTCAGTCTGCCCACACACGACTGTAAAATACTGGGTTTATTCTGTTTAGGAAGCCTAAAGTAGCCTGTCTTGGTTTTTTTGCCCCCCACCACCCTGCACTCCCTGTCACCCTAGTTTCTGGAGGCCAGGCATCTGGACCTTCTCTTCCTTGCTCCCCTTCAGTCCCTGGGGTCTGGCTCCTCAGAGCCCAGGAATGCTCACTGCTGATGGAGCGTGGTCAGAGCTTGAGGAACCAGAGAGGGCCTGGACTCATCATCAGACCTCAGGGGCACAGAGGCAGAGATGTTGGGGGAGGGTTCCAAAGGGCCGAGTGACTCCTGTGGAGTTGGGAGCAGGGTTGGATGGCTTTTGCTGCAGTGAGCTGCAACGCTGTCTGGCTTCTCAAAACGCTTGCCACAAAACTCACAGGGGAAGCGTAGAGTAGCGGCTGTTTCTGCATGCTTGCGTCGGTGCCAATTCAGGGAGGCCTTCTGTCGGCAGGTGAACCCGCAGATCTCACACCTGAGCGAGGGATAGTGGAGGAAAAGACAGTGCTTTAGCCCATCTTGACTTCCCCACGGCAGTCTCCCCCTCCTCCCAACCCACAGCCCTACCTTCCCACCCATACTCCCCCACACTCACTGCAGGGGCTTCTCTCCAGTGTGGATGCGCCGGTGGATGACGAGATTGCTGCTGGTGCGGAAAGACCGGGCACAGAACTCGCAGATGTAGTCCCGGGTGTCTGCAGGTGCACAGGGGACACCCCAGCATTCATCCCCAGGATGTGGCCCCTCCTCAGCCCAACCCATCTGCCAACCCTCAGAGGAGTACTATCCCCATTCAGCCTGCTTGTCCCATCCATCTCAGCCCCCAAAAGTGCCCTGTGGCTGTCAGCAGCCAACCTGTTCCGTTTTTCCCTGAACCTGCCAGCACTAACAGCACCTGCCCTTTGCCTTTCTCCAGCAGCTCTCACAGGTCTGCTGTGTCTTTTCTCCTGTACCTCCAAGCCTCAGGGCAGGGCACACAGGAGGTATTGTCACTTCTTGTGGCATCCTTTAGACATCTGTCTCCCACAGTCAGACCGTACATGTACACCTGTAGCCTTCTACAGGTAACAATGCACAAATCTCTGGCTCCAGGCCCTCTCCTCAGCCAGCACTCCACATTTCTGTTCTGGTCTACCAGGTCTTTCACTTACCTGGTCTCCCACCCTTCTGAGAAATTGCAATTTCAAGCATGCCAGTCAGTTCCAGCAAGGACTTGCTACTACTTTGTCCTGCTGCAATAAGCCTGTGACTCCATACTGCCAGTCCAGCAGCCCGCTGACTTTCCACTGTCCCCCTCCACACTCCTCACCCTTTCTCTTTCCAAGGCATCTTTGTAGCCTTCCCTCACTCATACTACTGATTCACTGGCCGCTCTCTTCCTCAGCTGGACCTGTTTGGTTAAAATCCAACTTAGGATAAACATGATACTTGGCTTGCTCCAGGGCCACACAGGTGCGCTAAGGGAAGTAGAAACAGATGCCACAATCCATGCCACCATCCACCCACCAGCGTCTCCTTTTCATCCACAACCACAAGTCTCAAGAGTCTACCATAGGCCTCTGTATTTCACTTTCCCACTCACAGAAGTCCAGTAGGCCATTATTTCACCTCCTCTCTCTGTCAGCCTCATTCAGCGGTGATCTTATTTTCCAAGTCACAAAGAAGAGAGAAGCCAGGAGAGAACACGCACATCTTTCCCCTTACCTAATCTGTCAGCAAACTTACGTTTGTGCCCATATATGTGAATACTTGCTCCACTGTAGTTGCCCTCCAGTAGTGCAGAGACACACCTCTTCTCCCTGTCTGGAGGCTGCTCACCCCACCTAGTTATCAGTTACCTTTCCTCTCAGTGGGATCCCTTTCCCCTCTCTGTGTCCCCAAGCTTACAGCTTTCCAGCTAAGACCCCACTTCTCTACTTGTCTTCACAGCAAAACTCCAAAGAGTGGTCCATATTCTCTAACTCCACTTCCTTAGCTCCTCTTTCCTTGAACTCATTCCATTCTGGCTGTCCTCTCCCTTGTCACATCCCACCCTGTCATCTAATCAAAGTCCTCATCCTCATCTTACTCCATCTTGTAGCACTGGCACAAGCCACCCTCCATCCCTCCTCACTGGAGCATTCTCTCCACTTGATTCCCTCAAGTACTGCTCTCTTCATTTGCCTCGCTGGCCACTTGCTGCTCTTCCCACATGTCCAATCCCATTCATTATTCTTCATTACCTACATTCACTCCATGGAGGTACACTCCATCCTTAGCTCCAAATACCACCCATGTGCTTGTAATGAAACTTTTTCCCCCCAGCATCTCCAGACTCCAGACTCCAGATTCACATCTTCTGAGATGCCTAAATTATCATGTCCCAAATACACTGTCCCTTTCCTAAAGCCTGCTCCTCCCTCGTTTTCAAGAAATCACATTACTTCTAACCAGTTACTCAAGCTGGAATCTTTCAAGTCACCCTTGATTCCTTCCTGTCCATCTACCTGTGGCCAATCTGTCCTCCTCACAGCAGCCCTCTGGTCCGCCTTAATGCTCACATCAGCCTTCAGCCACTTCTCACCAACTCAGTGGTGTCAAGGCTGCCATTATTGCACATTGCACATTCCTACAGCCCCATTTCTCCACATGGCAGTCACAAAGTCAGTTTTAAAGTCAGTTGTGCTCCTTTAAAGTTGGTTGTGTCCTTCTGCTACACCACACCCCGGGATGGTGCCCATCTCATTCAGCCAGAAGCCAAACATCTTGATGGTAGTGTTGGAGGCCCCTGCCATCTATCTAACCTCTTTTCCTTCCTTTCTTACTTCCTGGCCTCCCCTCCATTCCTGGAACATTCCATGCAGGTATCAGTTTAGGGCCTCCCCCGTGCTGCCCATAGATATGGACAAGCCTCTATTTCTCCCTTCACATAGGTCTTGGCTCAAAGCAGCTTCCCTTTCTACAACAGAAACTCCTCTCTCATGCTCTCCACCCCTTCCCTGCTTTCATATCTCTTTGTATCCCTGCCATCACTTTGTTCATTTTGTATCCCACACCTAGAACAGTCTCAAGCAGGCAGGTGCACAACACACAGAGAACTGAGTGTGAGTGAGAGTCATCCCACAGAGGGGTGTGATGGCACCTGCGGATAGAAGGTGACAGGCCTCACAGGGCAAGTGAAGGGACCGCCAGGAGAAGGTGACAGAACCCACACTGAAAAGTGAAGGGGCCCACACGGAGAAGTGAAAGGACTCACATGGAGAAGTGAAAACACAGAGTGAGGTGAAGGGACCCACAGGAGAGGAAAGTGAGGAGGCATTTCTACACTCACCACTGTGCAATTTCACATGCTCCTTCAGGTGTTTCTTAAAGTTGAAGGACTTCCCACAGGCTGGCTCTGGGCAGGAAAAGGACTTTTGGTGGATGTGCTGGTACTTCTTGTGGTGCTAGGGAAGGAAACGGGGTCTCAGGGAGACTGCCAGAGCTGACCCAGTAGGTGGGCTCCTCTGCTCCCTCCCCATCCCACAATAGTTCTGTCACCATCAGCTCACATCATCCTGGTCAGTCCTCACCTATATGTGAGCCCACCATCCCATCCTGACATCAAACTGCCCTCACCCTATTCTGTCCTTGACTTCCATTACCTCACCTTTTTACCACAATCTTCCTTACAATGCCCAGTTCCCTGAACAAAGTCCCATTCTGGTGACACTCCTGATTCCCTGATTTGTTCTCTGCTGGGAATGAGAACACAATTTGGGTAGGTATGATTATCCTCTTCAAAATCAATACTAATGTACAATAATATTGCCCAAATCACCTAACCATGGGTTTATTGCTAACCATGGGTATATTTTACGTGGTATTTTCCTAAATCTGCTTTAGAAACACACACACAAACGTGTATGCTCTCAGTCTGGAATGCTTTCAGGGATTGTGTGGTGTTCTTTAACTCCCTGATTATTTATTGGAAATATTTCTCCTGTCTCACCTAATTTCACATTCTGGCTCACTAAATTGCACGGGCTTTCCCTTTATTTCTAATCCTGCTTTCTCATAGTTAAACTGCTGCTGGTGGCTGCTTCAGTCTCCTCCATTAAGAAGCTCAAGTGAGTTTGACTAGCCCTGCTAAAGTTCTTCTCAACCCACAGCTTTCCTGCCCAAATGTCGTCCACCCTTGCCTCACCATCCCCCTGGTCTGGGCTCTCGCCCTCAGGACTTGGGTCTGGGAGGGCTCTGGATGAGTGTGAGGGCTGTGGCCCTTCCCTCATTGTGCCCCAAACCTCTCCTGCAGTTAGGCTGGCGACAGTCCTTCCAGTCCCCTGGCACTAGAACTGCCCTCTCAAGCCAGCAGTGCCAGGTAGCTGAGTGTGGACTCAGAAACCCCAGCACCATCACATACTAGCTAAGGAGTCTTGGGAACTGCTTAACCTATCTGTGTGTCTCAGTTTCCTCATTTGCAAAGCAGCAACAGTATCAGCACCTACTTCACAAGTGATCTTTTGAAGATCAAAAGACTTGACCTACATCAAGTGCTTAGAACAGTCCTAGCATTCTGAGAGCCTGAGGAATGCCATTGTCATCTCCATGTGACCCTTGGAGGGCCCATGCAACCAGCAGTAGTGGGAAGCAGCTGTGTACCGGAGGCTTGGTTTTCTGCCTTATCTACCATTTGTCTGCTTTAGTGATTATTAACTGTAGGTAAGCACTGCAGGTCTATCCTGATCTTTCTCTTCCCATCTCTGAACCCACCCACAGTCCAGGTTTCTTTGCTTCAGCTTCTCTTTCCTCTCAGCATCTCCTTCAGCCCTTCTCACCTCTGAAGCCACGTGAAACCCAATCTGTGCCCCTCATATTCCTCACATTCAAATACTGTCGGTTGGAGAAGATCCGTCCACAGCCAGGGAAGTCACAAGGCAGCAGCTCTCTTTTGGCAGCTTTCCTGGGAGGAGGAGGATAGGGAGTAGCATAAGCATTCCCACGGGCTCTCCTCAGTCCCCTCCTCTCACTCGTTCCCCTCGCCCCCAGGCCCCTCTGCAAGTCCTACCTAATTCTCTTGGGGCCGATCTGTGCTGTGTCCTCTTCCCAGGCCAAGGTCAGAGCAGACTGGGCCTGACTCCCAGGGCTACGGGCAGCAAAAAGGGAGCAGAGGGCCTCGAGGGAGGGCCATGTCCCGGGATGCCCCTGCCCTCTGTCTCAGCCATCAGGTTACCTGGCCAGGGGCTCAGTCTGCTGGGCTGTTTGAGGAGTCCCTCTGAGTTCGGGCTGTACCCCAACTTCGGTAGACAGAAGAGCTCCAGAACCCAGTGATGAAGAAGAGGAGGATGGTACAGGAAGGGGATTGAGGGGAGCTGCTGGGGCTGGGGGTGTCTCCCCCTCAAGTGTATGGGTGACAAGGGAAGGAAGGAGTCTGGGGGCATCTGGATCACTGCTGAAAAGAGAAGGAACAGGAGGGCATTATTTCCCTGGGCTCTCAGCTAGTCCTAAGACCCCAAACTGCAAAGATCCCAAAGTCAGAACAACCCTACTCCTCCTACCCCAGGATCCCTGTTCACACCTGCTTTCAGCTTTCATTCTCCCCTACAGCCTAACTTCACCACCTTCCACCCAATTCAAAGCCTCCAATTCTTTCTGCCTTCCCCAAAGCCCATCTTGCCTTCCCCACCAAGTCTGCAAAGCTTTGGGAGCCCCGGCCAGCTGCTCCATCCCTCCCTCCTGCTCTGTTCAGCATCCTCCCTCAGCCCCAACTTGCTCATCTGGGGAGGAGCTGTAGGTCCATGGGCTGGCATCACTGAGCATCTCCTCTTCATCCTCATCTTCCTCCTCCCCCTCTTCTCCTGGGAAGGGGAAGGTCTCCAGGAGGGGTCTCACTTCCCTGCTGGACCAAGGAAGGCAAGCCTCAGGCTCTGCTCCTTCACCTGCACTTTCCCCCCAAGCCTATCCTGCCCCTCCCACCCCCAACCTCACCTGAGTGAACTGGCCTCCTGAGTCCCTTCCTCATGCTCAGGCTCCAAACCTGTAGAGTCAAAGGAGAAGGAACTCTGGGCTGGAGGGATGAGGACAAGTGTACTTCTAAGGTCCGAAGTGGTGGGAGGACTGTTAGGAAGAAGGAGGGTGCAGAGGCTACTGGAGTCGGAAGGGATATTTTAGAAATGATATGTTCACATGGTTCAAAAAATAAAAGTACAAAAAATTACACTATGAAAAAATCTTTTTCAATGCTGTCCCCTAATCACCTAGTTCTTTCCAGAGGGCTTGGCTTCCTACATGCCCTTCCAGAAATATTTTATACATACGTAAGTGCATACATACATTCTTTCTCCCCTTATTTTTCCACCAATAGTAACAACATACACCCTATTCTGTATTTTGCTTTTTATACCTGAAAATATATTCAAGGATATATTTTCTTATAAGTATAGTTTTTCCATTGAGAAAGGATAATTTTTAGAAAATGGAGTTCTAAGCAACAGAAATAGGAACCTTTTCTCTTCCTTTTCTCCACAACTCTTCTTTCTCCCAGCCTACCTGCTGGCTCCTGCCCACTCCTGGCCTCTGGGCACCAGCTTCTTGGGGCAGTACTTGGCTGGGAAATTGGCTTGGGCTCCTCTGGAGATATGGGGCCAGAAGAGGGGCCCCAGGAGAAGGTGTGGCCCGCTGAGCACTCCCACACAAGCCCCCCATCTTGGCCCCCGGGCCCCCGAAGCCCAGGCACCAGGCTGCACTCTCGGCTGTGTGCATGAGACAGGAGCACCAGATACTGCAGACCCTTGGGGGGCAAAGGTTCAGGACCTGGAATGGTGAAGGCAACAGTCAGGGCAATCTGGGAGGACCCCTACTCTCACTCTGGGGCCACATTCAGCCCTGTCCCCCAGGCCCCTAGACAACCCCAGTCCCTGGTCGAGTTTACCATTCTTCAGAGCCCAGAACCTCCAAGGTCCTGAGACATTGCTCTCTTTTATACAGGCTATTCCCATCAAACTACGTTGGGCTCCCCAACTCCTCCACCTTTTCCCAAACTCACTCAGATGCAATCCCCTTATGGAGGGTGCTGCTAGGTCACATCACTCCCTGTTGTCCCTCTTCCTTCCCTGGCTCCTGACCCCCTACCTCTAGCTATTCCCTACCTACCTACCTGCACAGAGCACACAGCCTGAAGAAGTGTACCTGCCAGGGTGGGAAAGAGAGGGAGTTTAGGTAGGGGTCCAGGTCAACTGCCCTCAGCACTCCACACTTGCACACTTTTAAGGGACCCAGTCCTAAGAGCCCCCCTCTTCTCTGGGGACCAAGAAGAGGGCACAGGACCCCCAGAGGCCACAAATCACAGAGGCGGTTCTGCTGAAATGAGACACCTGTGGGTGTTAAGGAGCCATGGACCACCACCTGATCCTGGGAGGGGAGTAGGTGTTGCAGCCTGGGTACCCTCCTCCAGAGTCCCGCCCTGGCCCCTAACCGGTCCAACAGGAACTTAGCGAGTTGCGAGTGCAGGGAGAAGCCCAGCCGCTCTTTGAGGAGGCACCACTGTTCCATGTGGCCACCTAGGCGGATGCGGCACTTGCTCCGGCGCGCGTCCAGCTGCCGTCGCTTCTCCTGCCGCCTGCGGGATGCGTCCACCGGGGAGGAAGCCATAGGCACCAGAACCTACAAGGTGGAGGAGACAGGCATATGGGCGTACCTGATCCTGGACCCCTGGCTCCACGCCGCTGGGACCTCCGTTTCCTCAACAGTGAATTGGAGCAAGACTAAGTCATTTCAATAGCATCGCTGCCATTGGACCCAACCACCCCAGTTTACGTTACAGAGCATGAAAACTAGCGCTGTGGAGTGGGAGGCAGAGAGACAGTCAAAGTCAGAACAATGGCCTGACCCCAGGCATACTGAAGCGTAAAAACGGAAGCTATGGGGAAGGGGTGTGAGACTTCTACGGAGAAATTTCAACTGGGGCTGGACGAGAGGTTGGTAATAGTTTCACCTTGAAGAGAGCACAGGCCTTTACTGGTTGATGTGGGAAGAGGAGGTCGTGTGTGTTGGGGGCGTGCATAGCGGGGTGACTGTGGGTGGGGCCAGGGTCTGGAGGGCGCTCCCACCGGGTCTTGGGCCGCCCCACTTAACGCTCACTAGCGGTAGGTCTGGCCAATTCCACAGGCAGCTCCCAGGACACCCAGAGGGCCCGCCGCGGTCCACCCCGACTCGGCCTTACCTGCGCGCCCCCACCCGCCCTCACCCGGAATGCGCCTGCGCCTCCCCTGCCTCGCGCGCAGGCCCGGAGAGCAGGGATGGACAAGGGCCCACCTCGCGCGCACCGCCGCCGTTTCTCTTTTAAGAGGAACCCGTCCGCCTCCGCGTCGGTGGCTCCAGCCGGTAACTAGGGCCGGGGCTGCTGGGAGAGGAGAGACTGAGGCCCGCAGCGCGCGCCTGCGCATTGGCTACCTAGCGTAGCGCCTGCTGGGAGGTGTAGTTTCCGCAGGAATTGCCCAAGCTCTTCGCTGAGCTCCCGGGAAATTGTGGAGGGTTGGCTTTTGCGGCAAGTGCCTGCGCTTGATGGAGAAATGAATGGAGCCAAGTCCTCCCGCTGTGTGCCGACCCCAGCCTCTCCAGCCTGCTCATGGATGTTGTCTCCACAACTACAATTTTGTGTTTCACCTTCAGTGTGTCTCCCTATCAGTTGCCACCAACCTGCACATGTGCACTGCGGAACCAGGCATCCTTAAAAACCAACTAGACTCCTCTCTAGAACCCCAAGGCCCATTCCCTCTGCATCAAAAGTCCTCTGAAAAGTTGCCTAGATTCGCTGTGGACTCTTGTTGACTTCCCATTCTCTTTTCTAATGACTCCAATGGATTTTTTCCTTCCAAGGAACGGCTGGAATGGAATGGTCACTTGACTGCTGTTTCTCCTCAATCAGAGCAACATCTGACAGTGTAGATCTTTCCCTTCATGCCCCCCCAACCACAAATCCCATTGGCTTCTGTGACTTCACACTTTCCTGATTTTCTTCCTTCTTCATTGGCTCCTCCTTTCCTACATGGATCTTCCCCCTCTGTCCCAACAAAACATAGTGTCCCCCTGGATCAGGCCCTAAAACAAGTGCTGTCTCGTACGTCTTCTAGAGTGATCTAGTTGCCCCACGGCTTTATTTTGTTTCTGCCAAGTATGTCTTTAAATTCCAGTTAGTTAATATACAGTGTAATATTAGTTTCAGATGTAGTGATTCATTATGTACATACAACACCCAAGCCCATCACAACATGTAGCCTGCTTCATACCCATCACTTATTTAACCAATAACAGTGGCCACCTCCTGTCCAGCAACCCTCAGTGTCTTCTCTACAGTTCAGTCTGTTTTATGGTTTGTCTTGGTCTTTTATTTCCTCAATTTTCATCTCATATGTTTCTTAGAGTCCATATATGAGTGAAATCATATGGTATTGGTCTTTCTATGAGTAGTTTATTTTGCTTAGCATAATATACTCTAGCTCCATCCACGTCCTTTCAAATGGCAAGATTTCATTCTTTTTTATGACTAATATTTCATTGAATATATACCACTTCTTCTTTTTTTTAAAAATTTATTTCTAGGAGAGAGAGAGAGGAGAGAGAGACAGCGTGAGCAGGGGAGGGTCAGAGAGAGAGGGAGACACAGGCTCTGAAATAGGCTCCAGGCTCTGAGCTGGCAGTCAGCACAGAGCCCGACGCGGGGCTCGAACCCACGAACCGCGAGATCATGACCTAAGCGAAAGTCGGACGCTTAACCGACTAAGCCACCCAGGCGCCCCTATACCACTTCTTCTTTATCCATTCATCAGTCTATGGACATTTGGGCTCTTTCCATAATTTGGCTATTGTTGATAATACTGCTATAGACATCAGGGTGCAAGTGCCTCCTATGAATCTATAATTTTGTACTCTGGATAAATACCTAGTAGTGCAATTGCTGGATCATCAGGTAGTTCTATTTTTAACCTTTTGAGAAACCTCCATACTGTTTTCCAGACTGGCTGCACCAGTTTGCATTCCCACCAACAGTGCAAGAGGGTTGTTCTTTCTCCACATCTCTGCCAACATCTGTTGTTTCTTGTGTTGTTAATTTTAACCATTCTGACAGTGTGTGGTGGTATCTCATTGTGGTTTTGATTTGTATTTCTTTGATGATGAATGCTGTTGAGCATGTTTTCATGTGTCTGTTGGCTATCTGGATGTCTTCTTTGGGAATTTTTCTATTCATGTCATCTGCATATTTTTTGAACAAGGTTATTTGTTTTTGGGGTGTTGAGTTCAATAAGTTCTTTATAGATTTTGGATAATAACCCATTATGAGATATGTCATTTGCAAATATCTTGCCCCATTCCATAGGGAGCCTTTCAGTTTTGGTGATTGTTTCCGTTGTTATGCAAAGCTTTGTTTGTTTGTTTGTTTGTTTTTGAGAGAGGGCACAGGTGGGAGAGGGAAAGAGAGAATGGGAGAGAGAGAGAGAGAGAGATAGGATCCCAAGCAGGCTCCACACCATACGCATGGATCCTGATGTTGGCTCAAACCTTCAAATCATGAGATCATGACCTGAGCCAATATTAGGAGTCAGATGCCGAACTGATTGAGACACCTGGGCACCCCAAAGAAAGCTTTTTATCTTGATGAAGTCCCAATAGTTCATTTTTGCTTTTGTTTACCTTGCCTCTGGAGACGTGTCTAGTAGGAAACTGTACCAAAGTCAAAAAGATTGCTGCCTTTGTTCTTCTCTAGGATTTTGATGGTTTCCTGTCTCACAGTAAAATCTTTCATATATATATGAAATCATAAATATATATATATATTTTTTTTTGTATGGTGTAAGAAAGTGGTCTGTTTTCATTCTTCTGCATGTTGCTGTCCACTTTTCCCATCACCAATTGCTAAAGAGACTATCTTTTTCCATTGGATATTCTTTTCTACTTTCCTGAAGATTAGTTGATCATATAAGTGTGTATCCATTTCTGGGCTTTCTATTTTGTTCCACTGAGCTATGTGTCTGGTTTTGTAACAATTGTTTTGATAACTACAGCTTTGTAATATAGCTTGAAGCCAGGAATCATGATACCTCCAATTTTGCTTTTCCTTTTCCAGGATTGCTTTGGCTGGTTGGGCTCTTTTATGGTTCATACAAATTTTAAGATTGTTTGTTCGAGACCTGTGAAAAATGCTGGTAGTATTTTTATAGGGATTGCATTAAATATGTAGATTGCTTTGGGTAGTATAGACATTTTAAAAGTATTTGTTCTTCCCGGGGCGCCTGAGTGGCTTAGTCGGTTAAGCGTCCGACTTTCGCTTGGGTCATGATCTCGCGGTTCGTGGGTTCGAGCCCCGCATCGGGCTCTGTGCTAACTGCCGGCTCAGAGCCTGGAGCCTGTTTCAGAGTCTGTGTCTCCCTCTCTCTCTGACCCTCCCCTGCTCACGCTGTCTTTTTCTCTCTCCTAGAAATAAATAAAAATATTTTTAAAAAAAGATATTATTGCCTTTGTTTTCTTATAGGAATTTCATGATTTCAGGTGTCACACTAAGGTCGTTAATTCATTTTGAGTTTATTTTTGTGTATGGTGTAAGGAAGATCCAGTTTCATTTTTTTTAAATATAGCTGTCCNCTGTTTCAGAGTCTGTGTCTCCCTCTCTCTCTGACCCTCCCCTGCTCACGCTGTCTCTCTCTCTCTCCTAGAAAAAAAAAAAAGTATTTGTTCTTCCTATCCATGAGCATGGGATATTTTTCCATATCTTAGTGTTCTCTTTAATTACTGTCTGTCATAAGATTCTATAGTTTTCAGAGTAAAGATCTTTTACCTCTTTCCTGAGGTACATTCCTAGGTATCTTTTATTCTTGGCTCAATTGTAAATGGGGTGGATTCTTTTATTTCTTTTTCTGCTGCTTCATTATTCGCATATAAAAATGCAACAGATTTTTGTATGTTGCATTTATATCCTACAACTTTGCTGAATTCATGTAGATGATCTAGCAATTTTTATGGAATTCTTTCAGTTTTCTGTATAGAGTATCATGTCATTTGCAAATAGTGAATGTTTGACTTCCTTCTTGATGATTTGGATGCCTTTTATTTCTTTTTGTTGTTCAATTTCTGTGATCAAGACTTCTACTACTAAGGGAAATAGTAATGGTGAAAATGGACATGCTTGTCTTGTTACTGACAGTAGAGGAAAATCTCCCAGTCTTTCCCCAATTAGGATGATATTAGCTGTGGGTCTTTCATATATGGCCTTTATGATTGAGGTATGTTCCTTCTATCCCTACTTTATTCAGGATTTTTATCAAGAATAGATGGTGTTTCCTGAGGCCAGGGAATTCACTTTCTTCTAAAGTGCGCATGGCACATTCTCCAAGATAGATCATATACTGGGACATAAAACAGCCCTCAATAAATATAAAAGAATTGAGATCATACCATGCACACTTTCAGATCATAATGCTTTGAAACATGAAGTCTCTCACAGGAAGAAGTATGGAAAACCTCCAACAACATGGAGGTTAAAGAACACCCTACTAAAGAATGAATGGGCCAATCAGGCAATTAGAGAAGAAACTTAAAAATATATGGAAACAAATGAAAATTAAAATACAACAATCCAAACTCTATGGGATGTGGCAAAGGCAGTCCTAAGAGGAGCGTACATTGCACTCCAGGCCTATTTCAAGAAATTAGGGAGAGCGCAAGTGCAAAATCTAACAGCTCACCTAAAGGAACTAGAGGCAGAGCAACAAGAGCACCCCAATCCCAGAAGAAGAAGAAGATAAATAGTAAAAATCAGAGCAGAAATAAACAACATAGAGACCAAAGAAACAGTTGAACAGATCAATGAAACCAAGAGTTGTTTTTTTGAAAAAATAAACAAAATCGACAAACCTCTAGCCAGGCTTCTCAAAAAAGAAAAAAGAGAGCACCCAAATAGACAAAATCATGAATGAAAATGGACTTATTACAACCAACCCCTCAGAAATACAAGCAATTATTAGGGAATACTATGAAAAATTATCTGCCAACAAATTGGACACCTTAGAAGAGATGGACAAATTCCTAAACACACACTCACTACCAAAATTCACACGGGAAGACATAGAAAACCTGAACAGACCCATACCTAGTGAAGAAATCGAATCAGTTATCAAAAATCTCCCAACAAATAAGAGCCCTGACCTGATGGCTTCCCTGGGGAATTCTAAAACAGAATTAATACCCATTCTTCTCAAGCTATTCCAAAAAATAGAAATCAAAGGAAAACTTCCAGACTTATGAAGCCAGCATCACTCTGATTCCCAAGCCAGACAGAGATCCAGCAAAAAAAGAGAACTACAGGCCAATATCCTTGATGAATACGGATGCAAAAATCCTC